AGTCTGTTAAGTCGTCCATAATAAAAGATTTTTTATCAGGCTTCAAGCAAAGCCAACAATTGTATTCTTCACACCCCCTCCCCTGTATTTTACTGTGCCCTACACCACCCTCTCAGCTGTATTAATGTCTGGGTCTGCCCAAGTTTTGAGCAATCAGTGCACGCGAGACTTTTAGATATGTGTGGCTGTGATACAAGAGTGAGATATTAAGGGTTTTATATTTTGAATAATACTATAAAATTTACAAGAGATTATGGCGAATATATTCTTTTTATGGATTCAAACCTTCGCATGTGTTTACCAGGTTAGTATTTTTATAATTTATACACCAATAAACGCATAATTTTTACTATGTTATCTCTAGTCAACTGTCAAGAACTAAAAACCCACAATGGTTTCTATGGCTCCAAGACCAAATGTTGAAATATTTATCCTCTTCGAGATCCTCTTATTATTTTTTATAATTTTATATCATGTATTAAACAGGGCAAATTAAATATCTATCTATCTATCTCTCTATCTTGTGCGACTGCCAAGCTTTGAAATAAACCTTGAATATTTGAACATCCAGCTGTTGCCAGTGACTTGCCAAAGGCTGTTTCATAAAATACAGTATTAAATATCACATTGTGGCATTGTTTATAGAAACAAAAAATGATAACAAAATGGCAGTATGTTTCAATTTAAGTATCTGAGAACAAAAAACATTTAAACAACAATACATCACACGAAAATGCAAAAAGGAGAGCGTTTCTACAGCTCCCCAAAGCATTTGTTTTGTCCCAGGCAGTGCCAGTGTGTAGTATAAACAATAATAAATATGATAATATATGTAGCATTTTTACAGCTTAACACAACTACACTGTATATTAAAACGTGAAATACATTATTTACTCTGTCTAATGCCAGACAATTTTACTTGTCAAGGGGCATGCAAGCACCTTAATTTTCCACTGGCTGCTGAAAGACTCTAAGGTCTTGACAACTTGCTGACTAAAGACTCAAAGTCTTGACAACATAAGCTTCCACTATTCACAGCATACTACTAAGCTTAATTTATCATTTAATTAAATGTTTAATTATACTATCCATACTGTAAAACAGTTTCCACTGACTGCCGAAAGACTCTAGGTCTTGACAACCTGCTGACTAAAGACTTTTGAAGTCTTGACAACATAAGTTTCCACTATTCACAGTATCCTATTTAGTTTAAATTATAATTTAATATTTTAATTTTTCTGTACTTTTACATGGTTAGTTTCCACTGAACACCTGACTAAAGACTCTTGACAACATA